GTATGCATGCTCACACGTAAATACATACGCACATGTATGTATGAGTTTTGTAATAAATATATATATATACAAATATATGTATATATAAAAATATATTCATATATACACTTTAATTATGTATGTGACTGTGTATACATTTTGGTTTATAAAAAATTATAAATTGGATATTTTTTTTTCCAAAGAATTAATATTAATAAAATTTTTTTAATTTTTACAGAAAAAATAATTTTCATATATAATAAAAAAATTGTAAATGTAATGTTAAAACAATAACAAAAGAAAAAGAAAAAAGAAAAACTGTGATGTGACATACAAAAAAGAAAAACAACTAAAAAGCAAAACAAAAAGCAGTTTTCTTTATTTCGTTTGCAGAAGAAATTTTTATTTTTGCTCTTCCCTTGTACTCAAGCGCCGTTGAACTCTCTTTCTCTCTCTCTCTCTGAGATGAAGAAAATTTTATGGAGAAGAATTTTTAGGTAAGTGTTGCCAATTTTCATTAACAAAAATTTTTATTTTTCCTTTCGTGTTTTTGTGTTTATTTATTTTATATTTGAATTTAAGAATTTCTTAAGAATTAATTAAAATGCAATTAATTGCATTATTTTTATCATATTTACTTAATTTTTTGGCGAAAATCTCATCATAATATTTTTTGAGTTGGGATCTTTTGCAGGAAAAAAAGATAAAATTATATTAGATTTACAATACTATCATAATTTTCTGCTCCTGTATATAATGTTTGAGCATATGTATGTATGAAATACAATAATGAAATGTAATTTAAAAATGAGAAGAACATTGAGGTGAGGATAGAAAAAAGAAAATCGCATGTGAAATACACATATGAACGTGGGTGAGTGAGTGAGTGAAGTAAAAATACAAAAAAAAGTAAAATTATTGTATAAAACCTTTATCAAAAAAGACCAAATATCAATCCAAAAAAACTAGTTCATATAAATTTTAAAAGAGTAAAAGAGAAAACAATAGTTTGCTTAGTTTTTTTTTAAGTCAGTATTGCTAGAGACATTAATTATAATGAAATAGACATAAGAGCATAACTTTTAATACCATAACTTTAGCATAAGACAGGACAAAAAAGCAAATTTTTGTTTTTTGATAGAGATGAGAGATGAAAAATGCGTTAGGAACAATAGAAAAGAAAGAGAAAAATATATATATAAAAAATAATAATCTTTCAAACACATATTAATTTTATGGGCATCAGACATCAGAGTGAGCTAGTGTATGAATTTTTTTGTTTCTGGACTTTTCTCTCTCAAAAGAATTGAATTGGTTAGTTTTTGGTAAGTTTAAGATTTTTCTTTAATACAAATATAATATGTATATAAGTATGTATGTGTTTTCTTGAATATCCTTTTCAAAATAGTAGATTTTGGGTTTCTCTGTTTTCTGTGCCTAAAATAATATAAAATATGCGTATGCCATTATAAACATATAACTACTGTGGTCAGGATATAAGTTTATGTTTTTTTTTTATTACCCTTATGCAAAAATTTATTTTGGATTGTTATTCACTCGATTATTGTCTGCGTGCTTGTTTGTATAGCATGTATTCTACTCAATGATTTACAGGTTCCGATTCTAAAAGTGCCCTTTAGAATTCCAAACTATTCAATTCATTTTATTATAGTCGGTGTTGCCTCCAGATAAGTGCTCCATAGTCGGGCGCCAATAAACAATTTTGAAAACCATAAAATTCTGAGGTGGCAGTAAATTATTTTGCCCGAAAATCACAAAAAAATCGGATGAAATTGTGATATTATCTCAAATAGTTTTCGATTCGAGGATGCATATATATTTGAATATACATACATAGGTCAAGCATATTAATTTAAAATATTTCGTTTATTGTATAAAGGCTCAATTTGAATTGGGAAATGGTCTAGCCCCGACTAACAAAATTTGATAAGTACACGTACTTATTATTTTACACAGCACAACACAGGAAAAAGGGATGATAATGCCGTACCATATTCAAATTTCTATTTAAAAAAAATTTGAAGTGTGAATGTGTTGAAACGATTTTGTTCGGACAATCTATTGACAAATATTGTGGTGGATTTTTAGAAAAGAAATATAAGACTTTTTTTAATTAATGATTCCTTTTTGTGAATTAATTTTCCTCTGTTGTTTAGAGTAGGGTAAATATTAAAGAATTTTGTGTAATTATTTTAACTAAATATTATACAAAAAAAATTTTATTTAATCTGAGGTCTACATGTACATATACGTGTATTATTATTATATTTATACAGATAATATGTTTAATTTGTCTATGTTTATATATGAAAAAGGTACATAGGAACATTTAGATTTAATTCATACCTTTTTTTTACTTTCTTTTTGTGTATACATATGCAATATTATTTTCTAAAACAATATGTACACAATGAAAAATAGTCTATACATATAGGACTATTTATCTTCTTTTATCTTTTTTTTGTTCTCCACACATCTTTTTTTCATTTCCTTTCTCTTTCTTTCTTTCTTCCTGCCATAGTCTTTTTCTGTTAATGTGAAGTTTTTTTTTTGTTTTTATAGAGGAGCGCTTAGAGGAGGTGGGAGGTAACTGAAGCAGAAATGTTAACAATTTTTTTTTAAACACATATTATAAAATTAAAAATGTTACTATGTATAGTTTTATGTTATTGTTGCATATATATGTATATTTCTTATTTAGTAATATGCTAAAACAAAATTGCGAACTTCGAGTGTGCGAAAGGATGATGTTACATTTTTAATTTTCATACTTTTATATGTATGTATGTACGTAAATATTTTCGAAATTTGTTTAGTTATAATTTACAAAGTTTATTCATAATCGGAAAAAAAAATTAAAGTTCCATAATGTAGCACAATAATTCAGGTCAAATTTGTATCGTCCTTTACACTTATAGATACATATGTATAACGCATATTTTATCTAACATTACGTTTTACGTTTGGAGTGACAAATTTTTATGTGGTTATAACGTTTTTCAGTTCAACCATTTGAATCAATAATCTATATTCTATTGAAATTAATTTTTGATTTAAATAATATTTATATAATAAATGCTACATTTGTAATATCTATAGATACATTGTATATCGGAGCTTAAATCTTTTTATACTGAAAAAAAGTCTATAGAACTCATCTTTTATTTTTTTAACAGGGTGTAACTTAGAAATGATCATTTCTACAAACCTCCATCTATATAAATTTTTGTTTTTGGAAATTGATCAAAGAAAATTTAATAACTTATTTGCATTATTTTTACGAAACACCCTGTAAAGGCATCCAAAATTTGTAAAGGCATTAGTGTTGTACATAATACATATATCAAAAACAAATCAAAAGTGGTTTAAATTTAAAAAGATTTCTGTAATCGGAAATGTCATTCGAAAAACAAACTAAAAATCTGTTTATATTAATTTACTTATTAATGCTATTAAGCTATTAATTATTAGTGTTAGTCAATTGCATTTTAAATTTATCCTTCATTTTCAGTTGTAAATTCAACTATCCCAAATGACACATTTCCGATTAGGAGGAAGAATGGATGATTTCAAATAATCATTTTCCCTATGTTTTTATTACTATATTTTCACCTTTAATTTAATTAAAAATAATAAAAAAATTAAATTAATTATTTTTTTTCCATTGCAGAAGGTCACTCTCGTAACAAAGGAACAATTTATTATTCTTCGCTTTTTTTTACTTTTAACTTGAAAACCAGCTGAAAAGTTCAGAAACCAGTAGAAGAGCTCAACAGAAGATAATTTTTTGGAAACAACTATTTACATCAGTATATATATGTTTTTAGTTTTTCAGAAGTAATTTTAAATAATTTGATAATTTATATATGCAACTTAAATTCACAATAATATTAAAAAAAAAAAAGAAAATGAGAAAAACTATATTTAATTAAAGTAAAAAAAACCTAATTTTCAAATTAAAAAAGAAAGGACAAAGCAAATTTTAAGTTTAGGTTAATGCTTTCCAAAAAAAAAAAACAATGAATTTAATGAAAATTTAAAAATCATATTTTTTTTTTAATAAACAAAAAACACTACAATTGCAAAGCTGTAAATAACAGTGAAGGGAAAACAATAAATTTTGGTCAGCCTAAGCTCTTCTTTCAATATCAAGTATAACAACCAATAAAATAATACTACTTATATCAAGGACAAAAACCAAAAAAAATGAAATATAACAGTAAAACAAAGAAAAAAAACAAAACAAACATGGCGACCTAACATATAATTTATGATATCCACACAAAACATAAATAATGTAGTATATATATATATATATATTTATATATATATATATATATATATATATACATATATAACAAAAAATTTTAATTAATTTTCCTGTTATATAAAATAATTATTAAAAATATAAAAAATAATAAATTTATAAAACAATTATATAAAAATGAAAAAAAAATTAACTTAACGAAAATAAAAGTAAAAAAAAAAGAACAAAAAAGTGATGATATTATTTTGTAAAATATATAAAATATTTAATTTTTTTTATTAAATCAAAATATTTAATAAAAAAATTAAAAATATTAAAAAAAAATAATATATTAAATTTAACAATAATTAAATGAAATAAAATTATATAATACATATAAATATATTACAAATGTAATATTTATTTTCAATTTATAAAAAACAAGAAAACAAAACAAAAATACTCATTATAAGAAATTAAACTAAAAAAAAAATTATATACACATATAGTAATTTAAAATATATAATTAAAATTAAATTTATAAACGTAAAATACATATAATTGAATTATATGATTATAATCTATACAAACATTAATTTGAATATAAAAATCAAAAAAATATATTAATATAAAGTCAATAAGTAAAGAATTTTTTATAAAGTAGAATATACATATTTGTATATACAAAAATATATATATATATTTATATATATATATCGATTCAAAAAATAAAAAAAAATAATTATAACACACAAAAATGTACACAATTATGAATTGCAATATTAATAAAATTAACATTAATAATAATATAAATAATATTAATAATAGCAATAATAGTAATAAAAATATACATAATATTAACAACAATAACAAGTTGTCAAATAATAATATTAGTAATAATAGTAACAGTAGTAATAATAACAATAGTAATAATAATAATAATAATAATAATAATAATAATAATAATAATAATAATAATAATAATAGTATTAATAACAATAGAAGTAATAATAATAAAATTAATAATAACAAAAATACTATAGAAATAAAAAAATTATTATTACAAAGTTATTATCAACAACAACAACGTTGTCATAATAATAGTTTTAATTATCATCATCATAATTATCATCATCATCATCAAACACCACGTTTACGTAATGGTACAAGCTATAATGGTTTACGTACAACATCGTTTTTTACAATATTAATGTTGGTTTGTCTTGAAACTGTTTTATTGTCGACAGTATCAAATTGTGCCAAGACATTTTATATGCATTGGAATACGTCAAATAGCATGTAAGTGATTTTAATATTTAAAATGTAAAATATTATTTAATCTGCACTTTATTTCCTCAGTAGATTTGGGCACAGTGTTCGCACTCGGTAACAATAAAATATATTCGATTTCAAGAAAAAAATGTATCCAAAATTTATCCAGCCTCAGAAAGTAGAATTATTATACTAAGTCCTCTTATTTTGTACAAATTAACTAATAATTAATATTATTTTGCTTTATTCAACAAATTGAGTTTTGTTATTTATAGTAAATTCTTTAAGAAAGTAGCTGTTAAACTATACAATTAAGACGATTCACCTTGAAAACGGAAAAAATTTTTAAAAATATGTACAGCCAATGCATTTCTATTACACCCAGCTTACACTATAATATTTCTGATACGTTCTTGTCTAAACGTACACGAAGAGGCAGTACTCATTTAATAAAGTATCTTTCTTACTTTCTTCTAACAAATTCAGAAATCTGCTTAGAAAAGCCAGCAAGTAACATTTTTTGAAGATAAAGCAATTTCGCGATTTAATATTAGCAGCATTTTAACAGTTTTGTAATATTTATTTAGCGTTTGAGAAATAAATGTATCCACATTTCAGTAAAATTTTCCAATGTAGCCATTTTCGGCATTTTAGCAGAATTAAGTATGTTTGTGTTCAAGCTAAATTTAAAGCAAAAAAGTATCCAAATGGATACAATTGTATCCAAGTGGGAACGCTGTTTAGGCATTAATTTAGTAAACTATTTTTAAAAATATTTTGAATTTTTTTTTTTTTGTTAATTTTTTTTTTATTTGTGTTTTTATTTCTTTTTTATTTATAGTTTTCGGATAGATAACACTGATCACATTATCGACGTAAATAAAGGAAATTCAGCATTTGAATTCGATCAAGTTCATATAATATGTCCAGTTTATGAACCAGGAACATATGAAAATGAAACGGAAAAATATATAATTTATAATGTCTCAAAAGTTGAATATGAAACGTGCCGCATAACCAATGCAGATCCACGTGTAATTGCCATATGTGATAAACCACAAAAATTAATGTTTTTTACGATAACATTTCGCCCGTTTACTCCACAGCCAGGTGGTTTAGAGTTCCTTCCAGGAAACGATTATTATTTTATTTGTAAGTATACTGAATATATAAATTAAAAATGATTTTGTTTATATTCCTATTCTTTTAAAATAATTTTAGCAACATCTTCCAAAGATGATTTATATCGCCGAATAGGTGGTCGATGTTCCACCAATAATATGAAGGTTGTATTTAAAGTGTGCTGTGCACCTGAACAAAAAAATACAACATTAATACAAGGTAACAGTAGTGCTGGCTCAACCGGTACAACTACAGATCGTGAAAGAAATAATGGGCCAGGTGGTGGGAGTGGTGGTGGTAGTGGCGGAAGTAATAGCAATATTGGCGGTGGAAACAGTCCCATGTTAGATAATAATGCATCTCAACAGCAAAATAATAATATACAAACTGGTGTGCCATCTAGTAATACAATAGTCGGTGGACAAGATAATATTGGTATTAATGGTGATGGTAGTGATGGAAATAATAATAAATTATTGAATACAAATATAGATCAATATAATCGAATAACACCATTGAATCCTGGTAGTGGAATGGGTAACAATTTCAATCAACAAAGTGGTGTACGTGTAAATACTCAACAAAATCCGAATACACGTGTTAATGGTGTATTCATACCACCAATGACAAATATCAATACAAATAGTAGCAATGTTGTACAATCAACAATGAGTTGGCCATCGCCACCGTGGATTGGAAATAATGGTGTATCTCATGGTGCAACAAATGGCATTGGTGGTAATTTATATCCTCAACATAGTACACCAGTTACAACCATTGGTATACAAACGCATTTTTATCCACCTTATATAACATCATCTCGTCCTAATATCAATAGCGCTGTTAATAATAATAGTAATTACTCACCGTCCCACAAACCAACTAAGAAAACAAGTAAGTTTACATATTTTGTATAATTTTCATACAATTTGTGAAATGAATATTCAGTCCATCAAAAAATGCCAACTTTATGTTTATATGCGTCTGCAATTTGATCTATACAGCTGTAAAATTTTAATAGCTGAATAAATCGAATTTGAATATATGAGATCATTTTGACGCCAGTATGTGAATATTTACAATATTACATACATTTCATATAAAAAAAAATTGAAATATTGTACAAATTTTTGGATGATATCTTTAATTTTAAAATTTTTATTATATTTTAGACGAATATGATAAACATCCAAATGAAGTTGTCAAAAATGAAGAATTAACTTATAATAGCGGAGCTACATCATTTAGAAGAATAACAAATAATAAATATAATAGAAATAAATTATTTAATTGTAATTATATTATATGTAATAGTAGAAACAGCACAAGAAGCAGTAATGTTAATAGTTATATTAATAATTTTTCATCTTATATAATATCAACATTTAACAAAATTTCTGTTATATTAAGTAATTTGAATAAATTATCAATTTTGTTTGTAATAATAAGTAACAGCAATTTATTGAGTGTAATAAGTAATTTAAATCTCTCTTTAAAATATAAAGAAAATGTTAGTAATAATAAAAATAATAATGAAAATGAAAATAACGGAAATATTTGTAATGGTAATAAGAGTAATGATGAAAATAATATAAAAAATTACAATCATACATCTAACAATAAAAATTACAATAAAAAAAGTAATATTGATAGTATTAGTTCTAATTATATTCATTATAATGTTAAAAATAAGGAGGATAACAATGATAATAAGAAAATTTTTGAAAATAAAATTGAGAGGATTAATAATATTTTGAAAAAAAATGGTAACGATAACATCAGTATTGTTGAAATAGGTAAAAATAATAGTGAATACTATATTAATAATAATACTAATACTAAAAATAATAATAATAACACTAACACTAATAATAATTACAATAATATTAATAATAATAATACTATTAATGTTGGTAACAATAATGAATATAATAATATGGAAAATATCAATAAATATGAAAAAAATAATGATATCAACAATGTAGATAATAATGGCAATGACAATTACAAACAAGATAAAAAGAATAATTATAACAACAATAATTATAACGAAGGTAATGACAAAGGTAATGATAAAAACATTGATAATAATAGGGAAAATGATAATGACAATGAAAAAAATATTGATAATTATGATGATATTGACAAAAATATTGATAATAAAAATAACGATGAGAACGAAAATGATATTAATATTGATAATGATAATCATAAAAATAATGATAATAATCATATTGATAATGGTAACGATCATAATGATAATGATATTGATAATCTTAATATTAATAATAATACTGATGATATTAAAAAAAATAATGAATTTAGTGATAATTATTATAATGTAAGAATATTTCTTAAATATATATATTTATGTCCTATTTTATTTTTTATTTGTTTAGTTTTAATATTAAATATAAGTATGTTAACAATTAATTTATTATTTACAAAATTATTTCAATCAATTTTTTATAGCTTTAATTTATATTATTATTTTGTTTATATGGATGGTAATTATAACGATGATGACCATAATGACGATGATAAAATTTATGATGGTTTCGATGTTAATTCTATTACACGAGAATTCGAAATAATTGAGCGAGAATCAGTTATAACAGATAAAAAGTTGTATACATATACTGGTGTTGAAATTTTTAAAAGAACATTTAAAATTTTTGTACATTCTTATCAGTGTGAACTGCAACATCAAAAAAATGTCTTTAATTTATATTATTTAAGTACACTGTTAATATTATCAGGTGATCAATTACCAAATAAAAAACCGTTATTTTTATCATTACTGTCATTTTTAAGATTTTTTTTATTATTATTTTCAACACTATTTTGTCTTATTTTATTCACATATTGTTGTGTTTGGTATGCAACTTTCAATTTTATTTACATTCTGTTTGCGTATGGTAAAAAGGTTTTCCGATTGCGGTGAATTTTAATTTACTGTTACAATAATTTATCTACTTTTATTTCAGTCTCCCCCTATTTCTAAAGTATTTTTCATCCTAATCTAAATATTTTTAGATTTCGCACACAACATAACATCAGTCACTTTTGTATGGATCATTTGAAAAATTCAAGTGTATAATCAAAAAAGAAACGAGAACTTAACGGTTTTATGTAATCTGTGTGAAATTGCGAAAAAAATAGATTACGCGAATTTTGCAAAATTTTAATGCGGTGAACCATCATGATTTAATTTTTATTGTTTTTTCAATATAAAATTATGAGTGAATTTTAAAGGTTACTTGTTTTAAATTTAAAAAATTTTTGTATTCCAGTTTTGAACTTTTTTTTCTCTCTATTTCTCTATCACACTGCCTCTATTTCTCTTTACATTATTGTACTTTTTTCAAATCACATAATATAAGCGAAATAATAATAACAAAATAAAAAGCGTTAAATATAAAAAATATGGATAAAAAAAATAATTGAAAGAAATTTCATATATAATTAAAAAAAAAATTAAACTTAAGATTCAAATATTTAGTTAAAAAATATGAAAAAAATAGAACAAAAATCGTGAATTATATAGTATTATGTTGTAAAAAAAATTAATAAAAAAAATATAAAATAAAAGAAATTATTGTAATTGCAAATAAACAATAATATTATTAAATAATCAGAAAAAAAATAAAATAACAAAAACAAAGAAAAAAAATTAAAAATTATAAATAAAAATTCGCAAAATAACAGAAACAAAAAAAAAAAAAACTAATATACAAGAAACACAAAAATCCATTAAAAATTTACAATTAAAAAAGAAAAAACTTTGTGTTAGGAAAAAGTGTAAATATATATAAGAATATACAGTTTAATATTTAAATATATGCATAAGTGTATTACGAAATAATGTTTATATTGTGGAAAAGATATTTCAGCCTTAAAATGTTTATTTTGTAATATATTGGAAAAACAAAAATTCTGAGGAAATTCAAACCAAAAGAAGAAAAAAACTTAACTATGAAATAACATACAATTAACAAATATTCACGAGCATAAAATGCAGTAACTTCAAATTCACAGTAAATATACTATATTGATGACATAATTCAGTGCATTCACGATTTATACTATGAATTGTGTGTTAATAAGACAATAGCACATCAATTTTGAAATCGAGATATATACCCTTATTATGGTTGGCGAAGCGAATGGCTAGGCGAGTCGAATGGACTAGGCAATTCGGATGATATTTTAAATTATGATCGGCAAATTCTTTCATTCGCCAGATCCAAAATGTTGCTACCGCAAGACATCGGAAAACCTGCCAAAAACAATAAGGTCAGCGCCACACATATGTACATTGTTTTTGCTTTTTTGCAAGAACAGTTGAATTTTTCTATCCTTTGGCAATTACGGGCTTGTCCATTAATTTAGTGAAATGCTTGAATTACTTTTGGTTCATTTTTTTCACACTTAAATTAAATATTAAACAATCAATATTTTTTAAAATAATTTGTAGAATTTTATGAACTTACTTTACAGATAGTTTAGATTTTTCCATTATATCACTATAAATGTTATAATATCCAATAAAAAAAAGCATTTATGTATTAATTTGATCTACTTGTCACACAGAATTTTCATTCGACAGATTTAACAGCTCATTTGCCTAAAATTTAGGCAAATTCGCTAATCATAATACCAAAAATTCATATTTGTCAAAAATTTCATTCGCTTCGGCGATCAAAATAAGGGCCATATTTTTTATTTGATGCGATATCCAAGACAACTTCTAACAGTTACAATTAACAGCGAGTCAACAGCACACACAAACATAAATTGTATTGTGCCTGTAACAATTTTTTTTTTAATTTTTAAGGTTATAAAGTATTTGTCTAAATTCTTCGTTAAATTCAAAATTTAATAAAAAAATTTTTGATATTGATTTCTTTAAGTTTCAACATTCAATAATGTTAAAATATTTTTTTTACCCCTCATACTCGTATGTTAGAACATGATAATTTGAGAAATATTTTTATTAAACTTTTTACATATTATTAACATATTGTTATGTAAAGCTAATATTGTATTTTAAACTAAAGGAAAACAAAAAAAAAATATTAAAAATATAAAATTCAGACATTTTTTTGCCATGAGTTTGTTATTTCTAAATAGAAAACTAATCGTTCAATGCACTGCCGCTCTCTCATATTTTTTGATTGCTTTCCCGCTTATTGCGCTGTGACCGTAAATTTAAGAACATAATCATTTAGTCAATTTTCTTTTTCTATATTTATTTATTTTTTTAATTTTTCAACTAAAAATAAATTAAATTTAATTTTTTTTAGTTCAAATTTACGAACACTACGAGAGCCATCAGATTTATTTTAACATGACAAAAGTAAAATAAATATACTGATAAAAAAGAGAACATTAAAGTAAAAATATACGTATATGCAATATACAATATTACAATATATATTTACACCTTTATATTACATGTGTATATACACATAATTCATAAAATGGTATATAAATTTATATTTATATGATATTTTAGTTTTTAAGATAATTTTTAAATTTTAAGCATATATTATTATAAATTTAGGTCCGTAATAAACTTGTAATTAAATAAAGAATAAATAATAATTATAAAAAAACAATAAATTGTAGCAAATAATAATTAAAACCAGATGAAGGAAAAATTCATAAAGAAAAAAAATAATAATAGCAAGTAAATATAAAATAAAAAAATAATAATAAAAAAAACCAACCCAATTTATCGTAAAACAGCGCAAACGAAATAAAATGTCATTGTTTCAAAAAAACATGAAAATGAATAAAAAATAAATAATTATATTGTAATTCACATATGAATTGTGATGAATATATGTAATATATATAAATATATATATATATATATATATATATATATATATATATATATATATATATATATTTATATCCCTGACTTCAAAATTGCAGTAGTGACTTAAAACTTTGCAATAAATACTGTATTGTTACATAGTTCAGCAATTAAAATCTAATACAAGCTAAATTGTAAATTAATACATAATGTTTGCTACAATTTAAAATTTTCATCAACAATAAAGAATCAGCTCTTATAACTCATGAACTTAATTCGGTATTCCAGAATACCCAGATTACTGTATTTTTAAAGTCAGTGATATTTACATTTGTGTATGTATTTTATAATGTAAAGCATTCCATATAAAAATATATTTTCAATAATAAACAATTTTTTTAAAATAACCATTTTTACTTATAAAAAAATAATCATTGGAATTTTAGTTTTGTAGTGAAAATAGCAAATTACATTTTTGTATCATTACATGTATTTATATTCTTATTATATTTACTGAACGCGAAGATCTTATAACAAAAAAAAAAACAAAAAAAAAAATATTCTTGTAGCTCTATATATAATTTTTAATTTTTAATTTTAAAAATACGTTTTTATTTTATTGCAGAACCAATCGTCACCACTTTATTAAAATATATTTTAAAAATTGGTAATGTTTGTACTTTTCCTACATGTATATTCATTTTCTTGGAAAAAAAACAAATTTCGTTTTATTAAATTTTTAATGTATATAGGAATAAAATTGCTACTGAAAAAATATATAGAAAGTAATGTTACATTTTCATACATTTTGAATAACATGATAAATTTGAAGAATTATAAGTATGTATATAATATATACATTACATATATTTAATAAATTAAGAATCTGATTAAGATATCTCAGTTCTTTTTTAAAATGTAAATCCCTGTTTTCAAAACTCTTAATAATATGACATACTAAATAAGGAACGTTTTACAATTAGACTATAATTATATTCAATATTTAATTTATTTTTTTTAAATAAAACACAATAAAAAAAGGAATAATTTTATAGAAACATCATGTTGTTTTTTCTTTTTAATCCTATATTCCTATGTATAATATAAATTTATATGATATATATAAATGTTTAATTTAATGAATATATGGGTTGAATTTTATGAATATATAGATTGATTTTTTTTTGCCAAATGTTACAAACATATTAATTTTAAATAACTTAAATATTGTAGAGATTGTAAATATGATTAAGAAAAATGTAAACTATGTTAATTCCATTATCTAAAATTGAACAGTCTTATCAAATTATCATGATATTCAAGGATTATAAAATGTACAATTTAACAATTTATTCCAAATGTTTTTGAAAGTTTTATTGATGAATCGCCAATTTATATATTTTGAATGTTAGGTATCCTTAAAATTTAATTTGGGTTTTTGGTTTTCCATTTAATTTAATTTGCATATATATTCGTCCTCTCTCTAAAATTGATTCAAATCTAATTTTTAGTTCGATAATTTAGTTCTGCATTTTTTTAGAAAAGCTTACATTACAAATTTAATTGTCAAGGCTCAAGAAATAAAAGCTTCATTACTTAGAAATTTCAGTACAAAAAAATGGTACTGAATTGCCGAAAAACCCAATAATCATTAAATTTACATACTATTTCAATTACTTTTTATTTTAATACAATAATTAATATGAATACAAAAATACATAATATGTCTATATATATATATATATATATACAATATATATATATATATATATATATATATCTCTGACTTAAAGTTGCAGTTGTGCAGTAATTTATATACAATTCAGCAATTACAATTTATTTAGTTGAATTGTCTATAAAGGCTAGTATTTATTGCAATTTTGAAGTCACGGGTTGTATAACAAATCATTAAAAATTTGTAAATGGTAAAATCAAACTATGCAGAGAAAAGAATAAGAAAAAGTAGAAAGAATAGGAAAAATAATGAATAAAAGCAAAAAAAAATATAAAAACGAAAATATTGAAAGAAAACAAAAATAAATTACAAAAAAAAATAAATTAATTATTGTGAATCTAAAAATTGTGCTTAATTATATTATTAATGAAGTAAAATTAATAAAAATAAAAAAACATTTAACAAAGCAAACAAAAAAAGTATTATATAAAAAAAAGAATATAAAAAAGAAAGGGATGTTTTTGTGTATTTTAAGAATTAGTTTAAAAAAAAAAGAAAGCAAAAATTAAAAAAAAAACATTTGTACTTAACTGGAGAATTGTCAATGCACATAATTTTAATATTTAATAAAAGTAATTAATAATTTTTATTTTTTTTTTTTAATTTTTTTTTTGTTTCTTTTTGAATATTGTACATTAAAAAACAGAAAGAAAAGTTTAAGTTTTTTTTCTTTACATTTTATATATTTTGCAAAAATCTCTGTCTTCAAAGTAGCAGTAATACTGTAATACAAGTATGCATGTAATTCCTGAATCTAAAAATGCAGTAATACAGGTTTTTATACATAATTCAGCTTATGAGTTTTAATTGCTGAAGCGTGTATTAATACCAGTACTACAGTAAATTTGAAGTCAGGGGCATTTTCCGCTTATGAGTTGTAAATTGCTGGATAAATAATAGTAATCTTTACTATAACTTTGAAATCAATAAGTACATGTGTCTATATGTATATATACATTTATGTTATATAATTATGTAATATATATATATATATGTAATATATATATATATATATATATATTTACATGGGTACATGTGTCTATATGTATATATACATTTATGTTATATAATTATGTAATATATATATATATGTAATATATTTATATATATATATATATATATATATATATACCGTGACTTTAAAAATACAGTAATACTGCATTTCTACAAAATTCAGCATTTATAAATAATAAGCTGAATTATGTATTAATGCTGTATCACTAAAATTTAGAAGTCAAAGGTATTTATATATGTATATTTATATATATATATATAATGTATAATTTAATATACACTAAATTAATATATATATACGTTATATATATAATAAATGTATATTTAATATACATTATAATGATATACTTTAATATATATTATAGTGATATATTTATATACATATACAATGATATAATTTATAATGCAATATATATAAAAATATTTTGTATTTAATAATAAAATATAATTTTTTTTACACTTTCATAGCATAAACTTACCTATATTTATATATATATTATGTATACAATAAATAAGTTACAGACACTGTGTTTATAGATATATATATATATATATATATATTTATATAGGTTAATGTACACATTAAATAATATACAGACACTGTATTTATAGATATATATATATATATATATATATATATATATATATATATATATATATATATATATATATATATATATATATTTATATAGGTTAATGTATATGCGAGCTTTTAAATTTTAGAAAAGTGAAAATACATACTTTTTTTTTTACTTTGAATCCCTTATGTTTTTTTATACAATATGTTCCCATTACTTAAAATCGAATATAGGTATTTTGTCTAATTAGATCTTAATAAAAATCGATTAAAATTTTAAAAAAAAAAACAACAGTTTTTTTCACTTTTTTGTTTTATTTCAATTTAAATAAACCAACCTCCTTACGACACTCAATGAGGAGTAGATTAGCCAAAATAAAATTATTACTATTGCAAACCTGTGATACCTTTCTTATGTGAATGGCATTATAATGGCGATACCAAATTATCGTTTTTGTACGTTTTTTGACTGCAATTCAATTTTAAAAAATCTTTCAA